TTAAAGAAAGTAGAGTCGGATGTTATTGCCTTTGCCCCCACGCCAGCTTGCTCTCTAATCCCACTGCGGATTGGATTGAACTCGAAAAAAGCGGAGCTTAGGTAGGCTACAGCAACTCTCAAAGCGTGAGCTCATAAGCCGTATTTCGCTCGAGCGACTATATCTCGCTCGAGCGAAATACGATCCTGATCGATCATAAGTTGAAATGATCGATCATAATTGTTGTATATGATAGCGGTTCCTCAGTAACCGCTATCTAAAGTGTATATTAGATAGCGGTTCCAGTGGAACCGCTATCATATACAACTATATTTTAATTTATTGAGGCTCGACTAGTTTTTCGCTTGAGCGAATATATCTCGCTCGAGCGAAATATGATTCTGATCGATTAGATTTATGAAATGATCGATCATAATTGGAGGATATAATAGCGGTTCCTCTGTAACCGCTATCTAAAGTGATATATAATAGCGGTTAAGATATAACCGCTATTAGAAGTGATATATAATAGCGGTTATGTTTTAACCGCTATTAGAAGTGATATATAATAGCGGTTAAGTTTTAACCGCTATTAGAAATGCTATTATAATAGCGGTTAAGATTTAACCGCTATCATATGGAAGAGGGTAACTTGGACTTTTCTTTATCTCCAGCAGACTTTCGTCGCTTTTCTTCGCAGATTAGCGAAGAAAGCTTCTCTCCCCTCTCACGCATTTCCTCGCCTGCATTTCTTCGCAAATCTGTTCAACCAAATGTGGGTGAATCTCGTGTTTCTGTCGTCGTGAACAGTATTTCATCGCAAATCAGTTCAAACAAACACACCGTAGGTGAAATTATAATACGTGAAAAATCACATAATGAAAGCAGAGAAAGATGTAAATTTGTTTTCCAAATATGCACTTACTATATAATAATCCCACCAAAACTAACATAACTTTCTTCCACTAAACAGATTCTAGGGGACTGGAATTACAGTGTAATAATTTGTGATAGTAGATTAAGATGTAGCAGTGGGAAAGATGAAGTTGTTGATGTGGCAAAGAGTTGAAACCTCAAAGTTGTCTTGTAACTACCGGACGAGTGGAGGAAGACGCGAGCATGTTGACAAAAATGGTTAATAAAATCCATTAAGAAGGGAACATTGAGAAGGTGACAATACTACCTTTGTCCTCCACTCATATCTCACATATCGAAAATCAAATTTTTCATATTCTCTCTCTGCAACTTTTGAAGCTTTCTAAATTCAGAGAACTCAGAAATATAAACAAATATACACATATCCTTACGCTCATTTTCAAATCCAATAAAAAAATAATTATGAGAAGGCAGAAGGGTCAAAATCACACTGCGAAAACAATACATGATTGGTGTATACTCTGTAGTCCATATTTTATCGAACCCACTTTCTTGGTTTAGGGTTAATGTACCTACTGGTTACAGCTATTGAAATATGCAGATATGTCTCAAATGGAAACTGTATTTTCTTTCAAATCATTTGGTGTAGACTCATTCTTCAAAAATTAACTGGTTCTATACGATGCTCTCATCTCAGTTTTCCCTCAGTTGAATGCTATAAATATAGTTACTAGGTTTTACTGGTTAATGCCCAGTGAGAACTCTTGTACCACTCCATCTATTATAAGCTATACGTAACCAATTATATACACTTATTCTGAAGGTGGTTGAGTTAGCACAAGAAAGAACATTGCCAGAAATTAAATCAGTTTAATATTAACAAAATGAGATTTTAAGAACTTTTTGTCAGCAATCTCAAGTTTAAAAATAGTAAAAATAAAAATAAAAATAAAAATGCTTGGTTGGTTTGTTCTAAAGTAAATATTTTGTTTCATGCTATTATACAAACCATATATCACGGACTGTGAAGATCGAAAAAACCAAGTTTAGGTCAAGATTCTGAAAGTGTTATTGAAACAGTTTGTTATTTTCTTTTTTAAATTTTGTTATTGTGTATCACTAGGAGATACCACCACCTGCTTTCGCTTTCTACTATTTGAATTTCAAACATAATTAAGCGCCATCAACAATTAACTAATAATATAAGGATACGTGGTTAACGTTCTTGACCGTGGTCCCCTATTTCTATATATATCCCAGAGCAAACATATCCTGCACTTGTTAAATTCTTTTTTAAACTTAATCAGTACAATTAGTCAATTACTATAATAATAGTTAATCATTTTCAATATCTTCAATACAAGGAATAATTGGTTCCATTACTTTAGAATACTTTTATCGAGGATTGAAAAAAAAATAAAAAAAATCTCTGCGACCATATTGTAAATGCAAAATAATTTAATTTTCGGTAAGTGAAATCGGAGCGAACTTTGACATGCAAGAGGTGATTTTTTATGCTGACAAAATTTAGGTTTGATATATTTATTTGTTGTAAGACTTTTCTCTAAAATATATTAGAAATAGTCATAAATTTAATTCAACCTTATAAAGTGATTAATGTTATAGTTAAGGTTGGATTTTATTATATTTATTTATTTTTAGAAGAATTTTTCAACATAATCTTTTCTATATTAAGAGGGGTATTTTTCTTTATAAAAAAAAAGGATTTTTTATATTCCATCATTATTAAAATTGAATATGATGTTACATTACAAAATCTAAAATACTTAGTCGTATCTTTTTAAATATTTTTTCATAATCTATTCATATTAATAATATCTTAAACAATAAATAGATTTAATCATTAATTAACTTATAAATTTTTAACTTCTATATATGTTAATATATTCTGTAATTGACAATTACAAAACTAAATAAATATGAAATTTTAATAATATGTTATAAAAAATAATATGATAATAATATTAACAAACAAAGAATATTACGGATTATTGAGAAATACATATAATTTGAAAAGGAAGTATGAGTAAAATTTTCCCAAAACTAAAAGGGAACAAAAAACTATTGGTAAGTAGCAATAAACAAATGCCATGTCTTCTGGTCGTAAAGAATGAGTTAATGATTTCTACAGACAGGAATGTCGTGAACAAATAAAACATTATGTTGGACAACTAAAACTTATATTTAAATAAAATTCAGATTATTTTAGTCGGAAAGAGTATTTATATATCTTATTTATGATTTAAAAATATCATTTTTTTCTTCGAAAAAGAAAAAATCAAAATGAAATAATTATAAATTTTTATAAAATTTTACAATTTCTAATCCTCAAAAAAAAGTAAAAAATTGTAGAGAAAATAGAATCTTTGCCACAACAATAAAACATTCTAATCCAAATTATAGTTTTATAACCCACACAATTGTAATGTTAGCAAAAATAATAAAATGACTATGTTGATATATTGAAATAGGAAAACGTTTCATAATTTTACTTTTATAATCAATATTTTCTATAAAAAATATTCATGACAATAAGCTAGTCATAAATAGATTCTAATATAAAATAAAATAGATATATTTGATATTGAGATCAGGAGTTCTAAATATCATTGATTCCGATTATATTAATTGTAATTTCTTTCAATTATATTAAATATGAAATATTAATTATATATCAATATTATTTCAAATAATATTTTAGAAACAGACCAAATAAAGTAAGTCATTGGATAATCTAATAATCTTCATAAATGATAAATAAAATAATAAACCATACGCAAATTATATATAAATACATCCCACTCTTTGATGGGAGACTAAAAAAAAATTATAAAAAGGGTGTTTGCTATTTTTTTAATAATTGAAAATAACAATATTCAATTACTTTTCACAAAGAATAAATATTATTATCTTTGTAATATATACTCTGAAAAAAAAATCTACAGACTAAACGAATATAATTATTTCACAATAATAATTAAATCAAAATATTTTATCAAAAATCAAGAAAAAAAATTACACTTAATATATTTTTATATAGTATGGCTTGGTAAAAAGTAAGTAAAGAGTAACAAAAAATGATTTATAAAGATTAAATTCGTGGTCGAACATTCAAACTTAGATTAAAAGATATTAACCACTTGTGGCTTACTGATTAAGAGATATGAGAAAAATTTAGTCTTATAATTGGTATTAAATTCAGTGTTTCAAAATAAGAGTATATATAATAATATAATTTATATTTTAAACTAAAATCTAATTATTATGTTTTGATTGATTTTTGAAATTGTGTTGAATCTAAAATATTTGTAATAGCTTATGAATTGATGAGATTTGATCCTTAACTTGGGGGAAAAAGGTGGAGTCCCGTTCTGAACTTGTTGCAGACGAAAGGAGAAGAAAGTGTGAGGGTGTGATGCATAGTGAATGTTGTTGATGGTGTGATCTGAGATTGTGCAGGTCATAAACTTTTTACTCTTTGACACCAGAAAATTGTGCTTCTCCAGTAAGCCTACCCATGTCCTTCTGTTGGTACGTATCCAACAAGCTTCATACACTTTTCAGAGTTTCACACATACCCACCACTACTGCTATTAACCAGCAATGCACAATAAGAAAGGACAAAGGTAAAATCTCCATCTCCATCTCCTTCAAACAAGTGAAGTTAATTTACTAGAGATTTCATTTTTTGAAGAGGAAAGTGATAAAGAATACTACTGTTTATGTAGTGTTCTTCAAGACTCTAATGTGAGATTGTGCATACAGTATAGTAACTTTTTTGTTTTTATTGAAAAAATAAAAACTATGTAAACTTAAAGGGCTAAGGTCAATTACAACTGTTACAAGTATTTATTAAACTAAACCCAAATTCTCTCATTGATTCACTCTCTGCCACACTCAGGACAAAGAAGAGAACCAGAAAAAAAAAAAAAAAAAAAAAAACAGCATAAAGTTGCATTTTTGCCCTTTATTTTTTTATTCATTTATTAATTAATATTTTTCCTTTCATTTCAGACCATTATTAATAAGACTTCCCTTCCGGTTCTTCATGCATTTATATCTTCCCTCTCTACTCTCTTCTTCAAACTTCTCTCTCATCTCATTTCATCTCACTGATTTTGGCCATGGAAAACCAGAACCGTCTCAAACTCCGAATCTCTCGCATGTTCCGATCCTCCTTCGGTTCCTGTCGAACCCGTCACATTACCGATGTAATGGAAAAAGCAGTTTTTGCACCACCCAACCCCATTGAACCACCCTCCCCCAAAGCCACACCCTTTCCTCCCATTTGCAGACCCAAAACAATCAGCGACACTTGCATACTGTCCTTTAACGATTCTCATTCTCTCTCCAGACGCAAAATCTCACACTGTTCATCACCTTTTCTCTGGGCCAACAACAACACCACCAACAACAACCTCAACCTTAGCCTCGGTGTCATGTCCTGTCCCCCCAGCTCCCCAAACCTTTCCCTCAACACAATCCACGAACACGATTTCATTTTCCACAACAAAACAAAGGCTTCAGCTTCGACAAAAAACGTCAGGGCCAAGAAGAAAAAGAAGAAGAGACGTGCCCAGAAGAAAAGGGACTTTTTCCCCTTTAATTCATGCGCCAAAGACACCAACTTTGGTGGCTACTGGTGGTACAGCAGTGACGAAGACGACGAAACCGACACCCTTTTTTCCTCCAAGAGCCTCTCCTCCGATTCCTCCCGATCCCGGCGCTGGCGCCGAAAAACCGACCGGAGCTCCGACATGGGTGTTCTGCCGCTGCACGGAAAGGTGAAGGACACGTTCGCGGTGGTGAAGCGCTCTAGCGACCCTTACAGTGATTTCAGGACTTCGATGCTGGAGATGATAGTGGAGAAGCAGATATTCTCGCCGGCGGATTTAGAGAATCTCTTGCAGTGTTTTCTGTCTCTGAATTCGTATCATCATCATAAGATCATTGTCCAAGTCTTCACGGAGATTTGGGAAGCTCTGTTCTCTGACTGGTTTTGATATTAGAGAGAGAAAAAAAAAAAATAAGAGGGAGAAAGAAAATAACCTCTATCTTATCTTCTTTCTCTCTGTTATTTGTGTTAGTTAGTTCCCAAGGGAATTTAATTAGTTCAGTCCTTCTAACTCGCTTTTGCATGTATGATATGATATGATATTCCATCCACTGAATCCTTTTCAAATGACATCCATTTTCTTATTTTTATTATTGCTGTTCAAAATTCTTTTTTTATCGGTTGGAAAGTTAAAGATGAGTAAAATCTAACATTTACCTCCTAAGAGCATATATCTTTCAAGTATTATTTATATACACATACCTTTGAAAACCAAACCTTAAGAGAATGTGTTGGTTGGTTGTTATAGTTTAAGAATGGGGTGTTCATACGTGTGGATATATACTGACAATTACGGAACTGTGGTTGCAAAGGTGGTGGTGAGATTGTGAAAAGACCTAAAAAAAGGGTACTTGTTTTGTTTTTGGGGGTGACAGCTTTATTTATGGTTATGGAAAAGATTGCACAATGGAAATGGGGAAACAAGGGGCGTTGGATGAGTCCTCTCCTCTGTAGGTTTGGACTTGTGAGCCTGGAGCTTGAAAGAGATGGTGATGCGATGGGATGCTTTTCTCATTTGAATGGGGCATGGAAAGTGCTTGAATTGAAAGCACCTAAGCAAAGCTGTCTTACTCTCCCGTGTCGTTGTTCGATTCCACCTTTTTCAATTTCGTTTCATCTGTATGCGCCAAAAAGTCTATCTTGTTTTCTAAACTCAGTAAAAGTCCCTCCAAAATACCACATCAGAGAAAAGGAAGAGACTCTATCCTCTTTCCAATGGAATTAGGAGGGTATCGTTACAAAAACTTCCACATGCGATGAGAATTCAGATCAAGTTAACACAATGCTACGAAACTGAGTAACTCCATATTTACTCTCCATAATTCTTGTTACAGTATTTTATAGTAGCAAAGAAAGCATTGACTTAAAAAGTAAAGCCATATACTTGATCTTCTAAACGGTAAAGAATGTTTAATAATTTAAGAATACTCTTCAACACCTTGTTATAGATAAGTCTTGCAACTTGCGAAGCATTTACTTTTCTTAATTGTTTTCTCAGTGTTTTCTTGTTTTATACTGTACTCACGAGTGTAACCTAGATTAAACAATAAAATAGAATGTGGCTTAGTGTGAGGATGCACCCTTGTTTTAAACAGCTAAAAAGAAGAAAAATAATTCCGACAAATGCAACGTTGACCATATTTCTACAAGAATAATCTAACAATACGCCAGAAACACAAAGGGAATTCACATGATGCAAATATTTTTAGGTCCCCATATCTTCAACATCATGTGTTTCTAATAAGAATTATGAACCTGGAGACCAAGATGCAGATATGGCTTAAGAGCAATTTTATTTGTCTCTTGTTTCATGACAAAAAAGTTATTAGCCAATAGCCGCGAAAAAGGATCTTTGAATTCTGTTCAAATGGCCTATATATCACTCTTGTCAAAGTAAATAAAAGCATTTGTTCAATAATTTAGGAATGAGTTTGTCACCATGCTGGGACAACATAATTTAGAAGTCCTTCATAGCATCCAGCCAAAAAAACAATTGTTCCCACAATAATTTTTTTTTGTAACATTTTGTATATCTTTTTTCCTTTTATCTTTCTCCTTTCAATATCTCTTTTTATTCATATAAAAAGTTCGTACAAATATACAAATATAATTTCTCATCCAAAAACAATGAGAAAGGGGACACAAAACTTTGTTGGTTTCATAGGGGATTGGTACACCTACATAAGAGACAAGATATATTATTGTTAGGTGAAAACATTAGAAGTTTGTATCATTAACCAAATTCATGTCTATGCATGTATTATTATGGACCAAATTGTATTGGTTGGAGCAAGCAAGACAGGAAAGAACAAACACACACCCTTAACATGAACAATGTCCCAGACGGAGATCATGTCGTTTGTCTTCACCATATAGTTCAAAATTGAGAGATCTCAAAAATAATTGTTGTAAGGAAGGATCTTGGAATGTTCATGTACATGTATCAAAGACAGGCAAAGATATGTTTGGATCAAGATGGGGCTATCTATGGGCTGCAGCTTCATCAAACAAATGGAAAACAAGGGTAACCAAAATAAAGTAAAACTTTGGTGGTATAATTTAGAAAGAAGTGTAAAAAAAATAATTGAATTTGTGGTAAAAAAAAAAGAAGAAGAAAAAGAAAGAATTAGAGAAAGGGGAAGGATTGGTCATGTGTTTGTCAGAGGGTGGATACGTACACTTCCCATTCCATTATACTGTGATTGAAGGTGAAAGATCAATTTGGGGGCGTAACGTCTGTGTCAAAAGAATGGGTGTGGCAGCTTAAAAACTGAAACGAAAGAGAAGGCACAGTGGAATGAGAAAGTCTGTGGCAAAACTGTTATGAGGGTTTGCAGAAAGAATAATATAAAAACCAAAATGTTTCTATCTTTCAATTAGTTGTGGGGACTGCATCCTCTACTCTACTTAATGGTATCATTACCCAATTACCCAACCTATGATAATATCTATGCAACATGTCACAGACATCACACATGAGAGAAACCAAAGAAAATAACAAAGAAAAAGGGAGAGGATTTTGTGAGCAGAAAGAAAAATGGGTGGTGTTGTGGAAGTTGTTTTGTGACAATCTAGGAGGTCTCATTTATTTAGGTGGCATTGGCATTGGCATTGGGGTGGGTTTGTGTCCATTTGCCTCAAATGGAAAGCAGATTAAAGAATGTCTGGTAGTGGTGAATCCATTATGTCTTGGTTTGGTTGCTACTCTCATTAATGATCGCATTTTTTGGGTTCTTGAGCCCCAAATCTCCTTGTCAATGCACACAACCAAATATATGCAATTAATTCTCCACCGTAAAAAGGGCCAATTAATCAGCTGCATTGGGTGTCGGTTTCTGAACATGGGCCTCTTCACAACATAATTGGGCTGCCCTACCTCCTTCTATACTCTTTGTCGTTTAATTCCTATCTTGCCTTTGGGCCACCTCTTACATTCTTGTCACTGTCCTTCTTATATTCCTACAAAAACCACTTCCTAGTTCAAATTTTTGGACCTGTGAGTCACAAGTCTCAAGAGATTTTCAAATATAATTCTCTGTTCACGGGTATGACGTTTATAGCATGCACTTCACTCGATAATGTATTTTCTTAAGAAACCCAATGTTTAAAACCAACCATTCTCACTGTCCCAGGGATGGATAGTAGATGTCAGTGACTTTTGATAGTTTTTCATAATGCCAACAGAGTGATTGTACATGCAACATAATTAGCATAAAATCTTTAGAGAGATAAATAAATATCCTCTCCACTCTCTTTACAAGGACTACAGCTAAATTTTTCTTGTTTAAATTAAACATATTGTGGTCCTTCATCTTTTGAATGTTGTATTACTGGTGTAATGTTGATAGAATTTAACAACGTTGTCAGCATCATTAAGTACCAAATAAGATATTTTGAGGGTTAAATATAATCTTTTTATGGAAATAAAATTGAAATAATATCATGTTTGTGAAAAATGAAAATATATGAGAAGTTTAAAAAGTTTGAAATTTTGGGGAACATAGATATTCCCCTGCTGAAGAAGTCTGATTCTGGAAATCAAGAAAGAGGGTTTGGGTCAGAGTGATGCAGGTTTGGATGTGTATTTTATATGATAACTATCTTGACCAAGAAAGAAGATGACAAAAGAGAACTGACCAAAACACTGACTTTGGCTTGAACAAGGGTACCACTAAGAAGTAACTAATTCTGCACTTTCCTGCACTCATATTTGCTGTCTCTGAAGGAGGTTTCAGAACACTGTTTAAATAACACAGAAAATGAACAGAATTTAAAAAAGAAAAAAAAAGTTTTAATTGTAAAAATATGAAATATAAAATGAATGCTGAGGAATAAATTCCTATTTAACCACATGATTCACTGTTTGTGTAATGCAATTACAAAATGTGTAATGGTTTGAAATGACTACATTAAGTTGCAACTATTTTACAAAGAAGAGTTGTTCGGTGTTCATATATATACATAATATATACACACAGGGAAGATAACGATAGTTTATATAATTTTTTTTTAATCTACTTATATATTTTTTAAAAATAAAATAAATAATTTTTTTAAAAATAGATCATCCTGTAAGAATTGATTTTATCGATTACATTGTGATTTTATTACTCTTCCTTTTCCTTAACATGTTTTAAATGTTTTGAAGGGGGTGATATTGATACTATTGGTTAGGATTTTTCAAGTTATTTTTCTTTTGGGCTCTACTGTACCCATATCTTTGTAGTTTTTGAGTTCATGTCTATAAATTTTTACATTTATTTAGGTTTTGGGTACTAACTTATGAAAAAAGGTTCATTACTTGTATTGTAATACACTTTAATATATAATTTAGGAACTCAAATATTTATAAATTTATGTTGTTTAGCTAATAATAACTGTACTAAATTAATTAAAATTTTAATAACTAAATTTACTTTTAAAGTGAATTTTATAAATATATGTAATAATTTAGTAATTAAATTCTGTTAATTAACATTTAAATGACTTATGAAATTGAATTTTTACACTAAAATTACTTAAATATAATAAATTACTATATTAGTATAAAATATTATTTTAAAATTCTCTAATTATCACATATATACCTTTTAGGTTTTGATAGTTTTTTTTTCATTATTCTTTGACTTTTTATAAGTTTTTTGAAAAAATTAAAACAATTTGTGTATACTAATACATAACATACTATATTGAAGTAGAAAATGGAACTTGATGTGTAAGGCTCTGAGGATGCAAACCGAGAAAGCAAAGGAAGAAAACTCATTATTAGACATTAAATTTGTTTATAATAATAATAATAATAATAATAATAATAATAATAATAATAATAATAATAATAATAATAAACTTTATGGGTCAATTTTAAACATATTTTCTGACATGTGGAAT